AAATAATATTTTAAACATTAAATCTTTTTATTAATTATTATATTTTAATAATAAATCCAACCCAACTTTAAATTTTATTTAATAATAAAAAATAAATAAATAAAAAATCTATTGTGAGCTTTTCTTATTGGGTAGCTAGTCTCTGACCATAATGTCTTTGTTCTAACGAACATCGTACCGGCGGACAGAGCTAAAGTTCACAATTTCCTTATTCAATACTGACAATTAAATTAATTTTTTAACAAATTTATTGGACTAAGTATATTGCAACTCTATACTTACTGGGTATAGCTAGTCATTGACCTTAATGCCTTTGCTTTAACGAGCATCGCGCCGGCGGACAGAGTAAAGGTTGCAACTGAATATTATTCTAGAATTAGGTATATTAGGTTAGAATATATTTGTAAACCTATGTGTATTGGGTACTTAGTCTTTGAGCTTAATGTTTTTGTTCTAACGAATATCGTGCCGGCGGACAGCGCAATGAAACTTACGAATATATTTTTAGTGTTTAATTTATGTCTTTGTAATTATTGTGACGCATCCTTTCAAAGCGCTAGCACCGGTAAACATTGGACCACCATAATTACGCCTTGATAAATGTTTTAACATAGATATAAATATTTTTGAATCATTTTTTGCCAGGCCATAGGAAGAAGTATTTGTGTTAATCTCTCAATAAAATATACTCTCTCAAAAAATAATACTTATTCAACAAACGTAAAACATTTAATAAGAACAGATTATAATTACATTTCTAATAAAATATAGAGTGTTTAGAATCTTTTACAAGTAAGATCAGTCATAGACTTTGTGTAGTTAAATCATATTATTAAAAATTTGAATCGTTTTTGTAAATAATTATATTAATTATATGACGTATAGTGTAAATGGTATACGTAGTGCATTTAATACCAAATTAATTTAAATTTATTTACATGTTGCATGAATCTATTTATAGGGGCATTCTTACTATATAAAGTTCGCTGGAATGGCACATAAAAAGTATCAGTCTGCCTAGTCGTATGACCAGGAACTAAAAAAGATATATTTGACAATAAATCTGGACAGCAAATATAGCCATTTAAAAGTTTATAAAAAAAACAAATGTCATGTTTTGCCCTTCTGACTTGAAGAGTATCAATGTTCAAATATAATAATAATGGTTCATATGAAGTGTGAGGCAAACGTTGAATATTACATTTACTACTTATAAGTCTCAAGAAGCGATTTTGAATTGCCTCTAGAGAGTGAATTGGACCAGACGCATAAGGAGACCAAATTACTGAATTATAATCTAAAATTGATCTTACAAAAGCACAGTATAGTGATTTAAGGGCTAGAGGATCATCAAAATTATTACAACTTCGCTTTATAAACCCTAACATTGAGGCAGCTCTATTTTGAATATGGATATAATGGTCATTGAATGAAAGAGAAGAGTCCAGAATTTAGATCAAANTTATAAACCCTAACATTGAGGCAGCTCTATTTTGAATATGGATATAATGGTCATTGAATGAAAGAGAAGAGTCCAGGTATACAACCAAATCTTTCACNTATACACCCAAATCTTTCACAAGATTGACTCGATCTAACTCAACACCATTTAAAAAATATTTATTTAAAAAAGACAAATGTTTTCTAGTGAAAGTAATAACTTTACATTTTGAAATGTTCAAGTATAAATTATTTTTATCACACCAATTACTTATATTAACAAGATCATCCTGTAGCAATTTGGCGTCAAGTGGAGTTTTAACAATATGGAATAGTTTAACATCATCAGCAAAAAGTAATATATTGGAATTGATATCATAAATATCATTAATATAGATGTTAAAAAGAAGAGGGGCCAGATGGGAACCTTGAGGAACCCCGGAAGTAATATTATACATATATGAGTTATAATTCTTAAATTTTACATATTGTTTCCGATCAGATAAAAAGGATATAAGCCAAGAAAAGAAAGGATCGCGGAGACCAATTTGAAACAACTTATTGGCGAGTATACTATGATCAATCTTGTCAAAGGCTTTGGCGAAATCTGTAAATATTACGTCCACTTGACAATTTAATTTAAATGCATTAAAAATAAAATTTTGCAAAACTAGGAGATTAGATGCAGTAGATCTACCAGACATAAAACCATGCTGTTCATCAATAATGAAATTTTTAAAGAGTGGACTAATTTTCTTATAAATAATACCTTCAAATATTTTGGGAATTATAGATATTATAGAGACAGGTCGATAATTTATTATATGGTTAATATTTCCACTTTTAAAAACAGGGGAGACATAAGATATTTTCCATTTATCTGGAAAGACTCCTATGGAGAGAGATCGATTGAATAATATCAGTAAGGGAGATGACAAAACAAATTTACATTGCATAAAAAATATATTAGAAATTTTATCAGGACCAGGACAAGTTTTATAAGTTATTTCATTAAGCGCATTATAAACATCACTGAGAGTTAGCGTGCACGAATTAAGATCAACAGAAGGAAAATTTGTATTGTTGGAATATGAATTAGTTTGCAAGACTGACGGTATATTTAAAGTATTGGAGAAAAATTGAGCAAAACAATTTGTAATATCATCGCCACCGTAAATATTGTAACTATTATAATACATACAATTTGGAAGTGAGTAAGTAGAGCGTTTGTTATTAACATATTGCCAAAAACGTTTAGGATTCCTAGTAAAAGAATTTTGAGTTTTTTGGATAAAAATATTATAATCTATTTTATTTTGAACTTTACAGCGTGCACGTAAATTAGAAAATGTGTTATAATTATGTGGAGTTGGCGATTGTTTATATATTTTATGAGCTATTTTTTTATCAAAAATTAGTTTCTTCAACGTATGGCTGAACCAATGAGGGTGCTTTGAAAAGTATAAAGTTTTAACCGGGCAATAAGTATTAATTATTTTAAAAACGTTTTCATAGAATGCATTTACTGCATCATTTATATCTAGACCATTAAATATGCCATTCCAGTCAAGCGAAGCAATATTAGACCTAATACAATTATAATCACAGTTAACAAAATCATACATATGTTCATTATAATTTAAGTACTTAAATGATAATTTAGGTAATTCAATTGTTAGGGCTGGATGGTACATCGAATCTATTGGTAGTAACGTGTGATTTTCATTAACTACTTTAATATCAAACCCGTTAGAAAAAACGAGATCAAGCAATGACCCAGAGCGATTATATATTAAATTAAATTGCATTAAATTTAAATAAGATAAATGAGCTAATACTTTAGATTCAATAGAACCAGCACGAGCACCCACAGCGACAATTGAACCATTAACAGATTGCCAATTAATATTTGGTAGATTGTAATCACCAAAAATTAGAAATTTTGAACTACTATTTGTATTTAACAAAACATCGATAGTACTAAAGTGTAAATCATAAACATTAATATCAGAGGCAGGCGGAATATAAACAGCACCAATAACTATAGATGTATATTTATCGCTAATTCGGATAAATAACTGTTCAACTGAGTTATCGGAGATAAATAGGCGATGGCATGAGAACTNGCAATCAGCACTCCACCACCTCGTGTAATAACATCACGAGTACTGCAACGGTCACATCGATAAATAGTATATAGGGGACAAAGACCAAGTTCCGCGTTGAATACATTGTTGGATAACCAGGTTTCAGTAAGTATAATAATATCATAATTGCAAAGAGAAACATTACGAGTAAACAAATCCAGTTTAGTATTAATACCTCGAATGTTTTGATAGTAGATGGAAAGTTGACTTACAATTGTTGGGTTCGTTGACCGTTTTTTGAAATGGTCGGACAGTTATTAACAAATTTAATAAAAAGATCAGTTTCACCAGCATCCTTCCGCAATTTAAGTTCAGAGGCAATAGAAGAATACAACTTACGTTGTTGTAACGTTTGGTCCGATGAAATTCTAACAGTTTTAAATTTATCAACATTAAATAGCTGTTTTTTGACTTTTAAAATTTGAAATACATCAGACGGTGAAGGCATAACAATACGGATAGGACGAGGCTTACTTGAAGGCTTACCCAGTCTGTGAATAGACAGAGGTTTGGTAGACACGCCAATAGTATTAAACATTTCGTCAATAAGAGTAGCATCGTTTTGTTGGACAGCACTAGATGTTGAATGATCTTGTACATTAAATAATATAATGTTACGAGCTCTGGATTGTCGGTCCATAAATTCAGAGAATAAATTTTCTTGACTGATAGAGTTACTATTTGATTGAGACTGCTCAACTGATGACAGTTTAGACTCAAGTTGCTCAATTCGCGATTTCAATGACTTATTTTCCTCAATTACCGAAATAATTTGATTGGACAATAAGTCAAATTTGGAGTCAAAAGAAGCCAGCTTTTTGTCTTGTGATTTAATAGATTCACGACATGAATTAATTGATTGTATGATTTTATTTTGTGAGTTTTTTAATTCATTAACCATATCAATAAGTTTGCTAAATTTATCATCCTTAGAAACAAGCGGTGAAGTAGGCGGCATAATGAACGTTAAAAGTTATCGGGAGTTTAAATTAGGTATATATGAACGATAAGACAACCCAATAACAAAGACGCACAACACAACCTAGTAGTACCACGGACTACAGAACACTGTATATCAATATATCAATATATAAAAACTTTTCCATAAACAAAAGTATATATGGATCAAAAAACAATCTGAGCAATCTTATATTATTAAATCTTAAATAACGCAAACATTAAATTCATAATTTTGTACAAACATTTTTTATTTATATATTTTTATAACTAGTCTTAACTAATGACGTAGTCATTTTATTACATATTATTCGTTTAATTTTTTATACTTAAATTTATTATAAAAAATTACATTAATTAATGTATTAATACAATTACAAATATTAATTATAAAATATAATATGAATAATACTATAAATTCTAGAATTATGATTGATGACTAAATATGGCGTAAGTTAAAGAATGATTAATAATTATGAAGAATTATAGACTTTCAACTCGTAAGTTAGTATAGTATTATCATTTATATTATTATTTAGCTATATTTTATATAATTATATTTACCTAGTACAATATTAAATAATTCGCTAATCATAACTTTAAGTTTTAATGTTTGCAATGATTGCAATTTTAATGATTGTATAAAGTAGGATAAGTTTTTAATAATAGCAACTCCAATTCTGTATGCAGTATTAATATATCTTTGTTAATTTTTTGCACCTCATTCATTAGCTGTGTTCGTTTTATTAGAGATTTTATCCTAAAATTATAATATTAATTTATTTATTATGCACTTATAACTTATTAACATAGTAAACACAGCTGTAATGTCTTTTTAACACGCTTATATTAGTTTCACGTGTATGTTTGTTGTTTGTCGCAAGTTAGTTTGTAACTCTCTACGTGCCACGTGTTATTATTCTCGCGTATCCCATCGTCTATAGCCTTGAGACTAGACTGTCGTAACGAATTCACCCCACCCCACTCACTACTCGCCGTAATCAATATATTCCTTAAAATTAAAAATACACTAACTAGCAATATAGAAATTATATCTAATGATAGTGATAATTCTCTAAATACACTCACAAGGGGAGGTCACGGTGATGGGGTCACCGATTTTCATAAAATTTATATAGATCTAATCTATATTGAATACAAAATCAGACGTATTTTGAATTTCTTGCCAATGCCCCCCCCCAAGTCAAGAAAATTGACTTTGAAAATTTCTTACTAACTTAAATAGAGTCATTTTTCTCGCATAGACCATAACGTGTTATGGTCGAAACGAGAATACGTGATGCTACAACGCGAAAGATCTCGGGATCGTATCCCATTGAATAAGTAACATTTTTTTGCATTTTTTTCACTGCTTTCTCTTTGAATTATTAATTTTACGTCATATTTGTTAATTCTTTTTATATTTTATGTATCATTGTAGTTTTATCTGCATTAAAACATATTTGATGGTACAAATTATCGATTGTGATAAAAATATGATTAAAATAAAATAAACACATCATGGTAAAATTAATACCTTCTCAGCTTCGTATCGAAGCTAAAAACAATATTTTATGCACATGAATATAACATATTTTATTTATATGTAAATGTAAATATATATGGATATAAATGTATTTTTTTTACTTTTTATCGTATTTCAATTTCAATTTTTCATTAATGTCGTGACTGATTTTTTTTTTTAGCTCTAAAAGTTGTGCATTTGTTTGACTAATTTTTTCATCTATCAATTTGTTTTCAAACTTAATATCATTAATTTTTTTATTTAGATCGTTTATATTAATAATTATGTCATCTATTTGCTTTTTGTAATTCTGTTAACAAAATTTAAGGTTTAAAGCTAAAATAAATGTGTTTATTATAATTTTATAATTTACTTTTTTTAAACCAGATAATTGATTTTCAACTCTATGTTGAGCGTATTCAGCTATATTTATTCCTTTAGATTGATACTTAATATAGTCAATTATGTTACTAGTAACTTTCATAGAGCTAATCACATTAAAACGATGTTCACACATTTTAATTTTATAATCTTTCATTAATAAATGTTTCCACTCTAATAAATTACATTTACGTCTGTATTTAAGTAAATTTGAGAGCATGCTTAGTTTTTGAGAACCTAGTTTCTATTTTTTTTTTTAATAACAGTAAGATTCTATTAAAATTATTATTACATTAAACAATTAAATAATTAGTATGACGACATTGTGTATATTACTTTTATTTTATTATTAGCTTCTTCTATGTTATCAATTGATACAAGTGTCGTATTTTTGAAATCATTAAAATGTCCACTTAGGTTAATTTCTATAAAACTGTTTTTCATCACTAATTGAATCTAATAAATATTAAATATTTTTATTTACATTTTACAATTAACATTTTAAATAATTAGCCACAAGTGATTAATTATTACTATAAAATAGTTAAATCATCAATAATTTTACATTTATCAAAAGGTAAAGATTTATTTCATTATCATTATTCAATTTTTCTTTTTTTTTTTAAATTTATGATTAACATTCAATAATTTTTATTAAAAATACTAATTTTTCTCGTCAATTAAGTTTGATGAAGTATTTTAATAAATAATTTTATTACCTTATAATTTTCAGAATAATAGATTTTTTTATTTTCTTTATCAAAAATAGACGCTTTCAACTTTTCTATTAGGTCAGTTTTATCTTCTTTATTTCTTTCAAAACTTGTTAGTAAATTCGTCTTATCTATTATATCTATCTGAAGAGTTTGGATTTTAAATTCAGATTCGATTTTCATTCGTCTATAGTTACAGATCTTATTCCACATATCTTTGTCTATGTTTATTTTATTGTCTTCCACATACTTATAGTCATCATATTCTTTTAATATATCTAAGTATAGGGAAAAATCTAAAGGTAATGGGTCAGTTAGATGTTTATCGTTTGGTCTCGCAATAGCATTCACAAACTGATAGCCGACTAGTGGTGAAAATATCAAATTTACTTGCTGTATTTTAGGACGTCGACTTAAAATGAATTGTAAGTATAAATATACATATATTATTTAAACTAAATATTACAAATAGTGTATTTAAGATATCTTAAAATTTTTTATTACTTGTATATAAATAAAGCATGTTCATAAACAAGTTTAGATGGAAATTCAGCCTTAAAACGTCTATTTAAAATACTATCTTTATGTTTAACAGTATCAATTGTATTTATTAATGAGTTATGAATCATTTCAGTTTTTGACATTCTTAAATTAGTTTCTTCGATCATTTTACTGACATCAATAATATTTTTCCTAAAAGCGTATAAACATGAGAATTAAAATAAAATAAGTAGAATTAAGTAAATTATTTAATTTTTATTGATCATAACTTTACATTATTTTTGTGATAGAGAATTAGGAAAATATTTTATTTAATGTATAGGTTAAGGCAGGGTAAAATGGCAAGATAAGCTTTCACGATTATTCCTAACTTCTGAGAATGGATTGAAAAACTAAAATATGCATAAGTATTACTTCAATATCCAGCCTAATAATAATAAAATTTTTCAATCGTCTCTTTCATCTTCTAAGAGGCGAATATGAGTTTTCCTGAAAATTGTCATTTTTTCCCAGCTATAGAAAAAGATATTAAAACTTTAATATTAAAACCAAAACTATGATAAACAAAATAGGTCATTATAAATAAATGAGTAATATTTTTTTAATGTTTAAGAGAGAAATTTGAAAAATTTTCCTGAACATACTAATGATCTAAAAGTTTTGATGTTATATATATAAAAATTATATTAAAATACACTAATAATTAATTTTTCGGTATCTAACGTAAAAAAGTGTTTTTGTTAAAAATGAACGAGAAAAGTGCTAGAAGCAAAAAATAAAACTATTGAAAATAATATTAAAAAATAAAGTCAAAAAATAAATTAATAACTATTATTGAGTTATCTGTATTTTACTATATACCCATTCTGTATAATAATATACATGAAACTTAATAAATACTTATTAAGTACCTATGTTTTTTATTAATAAATTAATTTTTTTTATAAGAAAGGGACTAAAAAATGGCTATTTTAGAATTTAAAAAAAATTAAAAGATAAAATTTTTTTATTTTTATGAGACAAATAAAAAATTTGCTTTTAACATAATCATACTCTGCTAAAATAGTAGTGTCGATGAATATTTGTGCTATTATCAGTTATAAGCAAACCCCACTTCACACGTTTAACATTCAGCTAGTCAACCTTGCGTGAGGTTCCTGTGAGGTTCGGGGTATAATTTATTTACCCATCCAATATTTAATATATTCACATTTTCTAGTGTGAACAATAAAAGCTAAATAATTCATTTATTTCATTAAATAATTTCACTTCATCTCTTTAAATTAGTTATTATGCAAAATAAATTTACTTTAAATGCTGGAGTTGTTCGACGAGTTGTTTATCTTTATTTAAAATCTTTTTAAGTCTATAAATCTTCATTTCCTCTTGTTTTATTGCTGATTCAAATTTTATTTTAGTTTGAAATAATTTAAACACGCGTTTATCAAATGTTCTAATGCTTTCTTTGATGTTTTTCTCTAGTTTTGCTTGTTCATCTTCTAACATCTCTCGGTATTTAGATCTTTGATCATCCCAATCATTAACCGCCTTTTCATATTCATATATAGTACGCAAATCTTCTTCTGTATATTCCTCTGGTTTTTTGTTTAACTACAAATGACCATTCATGAACAATTATTTAACATATAATAATGTCGAAATAGGGTCAATCCATGCCAAATCATCCAGACGTGGTTGCACGACCACTTCCGAAAATCTCGAAATTTTCAGGACCTCTTCTTTAATCTATAATTAAATGAAAAAAAAGAAAAAAAAATTTTTTTTAATGATGCTCTATACTTTTATGGCTTTCATATAGGAAGAAAGTAAAATAATCGCCTTTATTTCGAATTAAAATTGCTCATCCAATTTTAATGATATCAATCTAAATTTTATGGTAAAGTCTATTTATAATTCAAAGTTTATGATGAATAAAAACAAATTGACTTTTATTGATTTATGAAATTTTAATGAATATTTAAAAAACGATAATTTTTTGTTAAAAATCGACGATTTTAAGCCAAACACAAGCCATCATAAAGTTTTTTTTTATTTTTTTTTTTTCACGTTTTATTGTAATAGTACATATTTAATACCTCTGTCAAGTTTAAAAACTTAAAATTAATTTTTCAATGTTTTATAAGGTTTTTAATTTTAAACAATTTGCAATAATAACCAAGTTTAGGTTTCATTATCTCTGATGGGTAACCCTTAAATTAACTTTTTCAAAATCAAAATACATATAAATGTACCTGTAGAAACTATGGTAAAAATTTAAAAGTTTAGAAAAAAGTATGTCATCACCAAAATACAGTTTGAAAATCAGGAAAACACGTTTTTTAATCAATTTAATTTAATACATTTTTTGTTATTTTATTGTACAATCTCAATAGTAAAATTGATTAACTTTTGTAAAAACAATAAATTATAACTAACTATAGTATCATAATATTAAATACAAGTATCAGTACTAAAGATAGTACCTTACTACAGTTATTACCTGTAAGTTAAAAATAATCATCATAAACAACTTAACCGATGATAAAATATATTAACTGCTATCGGCATGATTGTTTTTAAATGCATATTTTTGTTTCAATGTATCATGATGTTATATATTTAACTTTATCTTACTTGTATAACGATGTACAAGTACACGAGTATATATCTATAAGTAATGAACACCACTACAATCTGTATACTATGTTATTGATAAATGAATTTTAAAAGTTCAATATGTGTTGTAATTTATTTTAGTGTGTTGAGTTCATTGAAAATTCATCATTTAGTTGTTTTATTTTTTAATTTAAGTTTAAATTAAATTAAAAATGAATTGTTCCATTGGTCATTATGTGAGTGAAGAATGCCATAAAGCTACCTACGGGTTAGTTTCTAATGTTTTAATAAATCCAAATGATTTGAACGGTAAAGAAAAATTATTATTAAATTTAAGAATAAAAACAGAAATTGATTCTATATGTGAGTACCATAAAATAAAATATTTACACAAGTATAATTTTTTATTTGGTAAAACATGTTGCGATCCTTTTAAATCCACACAAAAATATCATAAAAAAAGGTTTGAGTGAAATTAATATTGAACTAAAAGATAAAGTAAAAAACTTTGATATTGAATTAACTCCAGGAAAATCATTGTGCCCTACTTGTTTTAAAAATGTAAATAATGTATGTAAATATTTTCGTTTAATGGGGAATACTTATGAATGTAATAGTACTGATGACACTGTCGACTGTAAAGAATCCCAAATAGAAAGGGTTGACACGATTTTTAAAGCTTTTGATTTGTCTCCTGTTTCAAAAATTAAAAGGCTTAACCCCCAAAAAAGGTGTTTAGCTGTACAAAAAAAAGTTGAGCATGTTTCATTAGGTTTGAAACGTGATCTAGAAAATTGTATTCATGGATGATCTTATGAAAATAAAACATCAGAATATGAAATGCTAATTGAAAAATTAAAATTAAAGTTTATTTCGTCTACTTCTGACCAAAAAATTAAGATTTTAAGCTTATTACCTACATCTTGGTCGAGAGAAAAAATATCTAAAGAATTTAATACGTCAGAATATTTGGTTAGATTATCTAGAGATTTAGTTAGCAAGTATGGAATACTTCCTGACAATCCTAAAAAATTAGGTCGTACTTTAAGCAATGGAGTTGCTGAACTTGTAGTACAGTTTTATGAAGACGATGAATACAGTCGAATGTGTCCCGATAAAAAAGATTATGTGTCAATAAAAATAAATGATGTTAAAGATCTTAAGCAAAAACGACTACTTTTAAATAATCTCAATGAATTATTTGTAGAGTTTAAAAATAAATATCCCGATATTAAAATAGGGCGATCTAAATTTTGCGAATTAAAACCAAAGTGGTGCATATTGGCAGGGTCATCAGGTACTCATACTGTTTGTGTATGTGTGTATCACCAAAATGTAAAGCTGATGATTGAAGGTGCTTCATTAAAATATAATTTTAAATACTTTTTAAAATGTATAGTGTGTGATATAAATAATTATTTATGTATGATGGGTGAATGTACTCAATTTCCTGATAGCTATGACACTTTAAAAGAATTATTACAAAACAAGCTTGAATATAGTTCTGAAAATATTACTTTCAAGCAATGGATGAATACTGATCGAGCAGATTTAGTGACAAATATTCAATCTGTTGATGAATTTATTGAAACGATAATTTATAAGATTATTAAACTTAAAAAACACCATTATATAACTAAGGTTCAGTACAACTTTTTAAAGCAAAAAAAAATATGAACTAAAATTAAATGAATGAATAGTATTAGCAGATTTTTCTGAAAATTACAACTTTGTTATACAAGATGAAATTCAAAGTTACCACTGGATTCATAAACAAGCTGCATTACATCCACTTGTATATTATTACAAATAGGACAATTTATTAAAATCGCGTTGCATGTGTGTAATTAGTGATCATATGGAACATAATACTATTGCGGTTCATACATTCCAAAATCATCTAATTAATGACATTAAGATAATTGCGCCACATGTAAAAAAAATATTGTATTTTAGTGATGGTGCAGCAAGTCAATATAAAAATAAAAAGAATTTCATTAATTTATGTTTTCATTATTCTGACTTTGGAATTTTTTGCTTCTTCTCATGGTAAAAATGCGAGTGATGGAATTGGAGGAACTACTAAGCGAGTAGTAACGAAGTATAGTTTACAACGAATTCGTTCAAATCACATACTTACACCATTAGACATGTTCAAATTCTGTGTGGAAAATATCAAAGGCATAAAATATATTTATTTTTCATCATTAGAAGTACAAAAGAACGCAAAAAAACTAAGTTCTAGATTTCTCATAGGTAAAACTATTCCTGGGACTAGAGAAAAACATAAATTTGTACCGTGCACTCAAAATACTTTACGAAGTTATAAAACTTCATTAACAAGTAATTATGAAGAGACCAAATTCTAACATGAACAAATATTTTTTCATACGTGCGTACACTTGCACATATGATTAATTTTTATAAATATTAATCAAACATATTATGACATTTGGATATAATAATAAATTTTAATTGTATTTAAAATGTGCAAGTAAAACAATGAATATGTAATATTTTATATTATAATTTGTACACTTTTAATTAAAATACAAATGCAGATTGTAATTGTTTTTTTAATATTATCCTAAATAAAAGTACTTATTTATTGTTTTTATAAGATTCTGTTTTTAATAACTTTTATGATGATTATTTTTAACTTACAGGTAATAACTGTAGTAAGGTACTATCTTTAGTACTGATACTTGTATTTAATATTATGATACTATAGTTAGTTATAATTTATTGTTTTTACAAAAGTTAATCAATTTTACTATTGAGATTGTACAATAAAATAACAAAAAATGTATTAAATTAAATTGATTAAAAAACGTGTTTTCCTGATTTTCAAACTGTATTTTGGTGATGACATACTTTTTTCTAAACTTTTAAATTTTTACCATAGTTTCTACAGGTACATTTATATGTATTTTGATTTTGAAAAAGTTAATTTAAGGGTTACCCATCAGAGATAATGAAACCTAAACTTGGTTATTATTGCAAATTGTTTAAAATTAAAAACCTTATAAAACATTGAAAAATTAATTTTAAGTTTTTAAACTTGACAGAGGTATTAAATATGTACTATTACAATAAAACGTGAAAAAAAAAAAATAAAAAAAAACTTTATGATGGCTTGTGTTTGGCTTAAAATCGTCGATTTTTAACAAAAAATTATCGTTTTTTAAATATTCATTAAAATTTCATAAATCAATAAAAGTCAATTTGTTTTTATTCATCATAAACTTTGAATTATAAATAGACTTTACCATAAAATTTAGATTGATATCATTAAAATTGGATGAGCAATTTTAATTCGAAATAAAGGCGATTATTTTACTTTCTTCCTATATGAAAGCCATAAAAGTATAGAGCATCATTAAAAAAAATTTTTTTTTCTTTTATTTCATTTAATTATAGATTAAAGAAGAGGTCCTGAAAATTTCGAGATTTTCGGAAGTGGTCGTGCAACCACGTCTGGATGATTTATTAATATATAATGTTATCAATGTTATACCATGCATTTAGGTTTTGGTATATCTTTCTTTAATTCATCTTCCCACTTTTTTTCTAATACGCCATCCATCATTTCTATTAAAGCTATTTGCTTGAAATTATCGACAGCTAATAATTGTGGAATTCGTTCATGTTCAACTAAGTCAGCATTAATCAACATTTGATCACTCGTAGAAATGTACGGTTTTGCTAAAACTTCATAATTCTCAACAACTACTAGTTGTTCGGTACATTCGTACTGGGTCCATTCGTAATCATTTGGAGATTTTCCTGTTGGTTCAACTAAATATTAAAAATAAACAGTTATTTTTTATTTTTTAAGCTTCAACTTCTGAGATTATTAGCTTGAACAAAATTAAATTATTAGGTTACATATATGATTTTAAAATAATATTTCTTGAACTAGTTTCACATAAACAGTTATTTACATTTCCACTGATATAATTTAAATATTTTTTTTTGAAATAAATGAGAAAAATTAATAATATATTTTAAATTCAATAAATAAATTCTCATTTATAATAATAATTGTACATCTTAACATTCTCAAGAACATTTTCTCGGTAACTGGAATATGTTCTTAAAAAAAAATATAGAACTAAATAATTTTTCTGAGAATATTTTTTATTTTAATTGGTTGATAGTCACATGAAAACAAAAGCTATTCAAAGACTAAAAATAATAATAAAAAATTGTTTTAGTGAAAATAAAATCGAAAAATTCTCAGTAAAAATAAAAATTTTTATCTAATTCATTACAATAAACAAAGTAGTTAAGTTATCTGAAGAATTTTGGTAACTTTTAGTAAAGTATCATGAATGCCGACAAAATAAATTAATTACATTTGCATGCTAGCCGGAATTCGTTGTTTATCACTCGTATTCGATCATTGCTTTTTTTAAGGTATTCTAACTGACGTTGTTTAGCCTCAAATGTATCATCAAACAATTTATTAAATTCTAGTTTCAGTCTATTAATAACAAACTATAAAAAACAAAATGTTGGCTAGTAAATTCGTAAATTTAATTAATTTAAGTTACCATTAGCAAAAAAATTTCATCTTCAGCCATGTTTAATTCATAATACTTTTGATGGATATTTAATGAATCAATATTGTCAATTAATCTATGACTGATCGATCCCAATAACATAACTGAATTAAATTGTGATTCACTATTATTTGAAATTGATACACTTATATCATCCAGATTTTCCAAATCACTTTGAAGAAATTCTGATTTTTTTCTTCTATAACTATTTGGTTTAGAATAATAATTTGAATTTAAGAAAAAGAAGAAAATTGTGATTACTTTAAAACAGATGTTAAATTTAATGAATTGGTTCCAATTCCTAACTGTTGAATTCGTTTATTTATTATTAACTCAGCTTTTTCTTTAATTTCCTGTTCTTCAGTGTTGATAGGGTAATTATTAACAATATACAATTTTTCGAGACACTAAATGATAAACATAATTAATTATGCTTTTGGTATGTATTGTAAGATATTTACTTTTAAAGATTTTGGTTTAGTGGATAGTGAATCCCAATTTTTTTTTAAAATTGTATCTGTCTCTGATTTTAAATTGACTAAAATATTAAGGATATTAGTTTGATATTCCTTTCTTTCAATTTCACATTTTTCTCTGTATATTTTTCTATAATCTTCGTCTAAATCAAATTCGTCTATGTGTAACTTTTCATTTTCGGGTCCCGTCAAGTTTTTTTCGAATAATTTTAATAACTATAACATAATATTTATTTTGCACAATTATCTTGTAATTGATCAAACGTTTTGAAATAAATGAGTATTTAATGTGGTAGCGTGTCATGTGTTCGAATGTCACATTTTCTAATAAAAAGTGTTTAGCCGTTATGTGACTTGGAAAAAAACATCTTATGATGGTATAGGTTCCCGGGTACCTGCAATATAGTTAATAGTACTTTTTCCGTAAATTATTTCATTGTCGTCAGTTTATCGTCTTTATATATTATTATACGTAATTCGAATTATCAGTAGACATAATTTTAGTAATATCGAACATTTAAAAATTATAGTTACGGTTTATGTGCTGATCATTTTAGTTTTTGACATTGACATGAACACAGTAAAACATTAATTCAAAAGTCTGTATTGTTATTAGAGTTTTTATTTTATTTATTACATAATATTGAAAAATGCTAAATATGGCTTATAACCAATGCCGTAATGAAAGACTGCGGAGATCTAAGTAAGTATAAACACATTTTGAAAAATATGTAATGTACAGAGTCGTTTTAGAAACTATAAAATATTTTAATTATATAGATCTTTTATAAAATATAATTTTATAATTTAGATTTATGATAATTTTATGTGAAATATAAATCAAATAATATAATATTTATGTATAAGTGATGTCATAAAAACAGGTATACATAATAATACAGAGATAATGTAGAGATGCAGAGATACATGTATATATAGTATATACCTATCTAACTATTATTAGTTTATATTATTATTTTTTATATCTGTTCAAGATTACCATCTGATAAAATAAGAGACGTATTGAGGGAATCAGATTCTGAAGGTGAACTTAATCATGTATTGATGTGTAAATGATTATTGACTCATGATGACGAAGATGAGTAATTTCCTGAACCAGCAGCTTTTGAATATGAGGAATTAGATGCAGAAATAGAGCCTGTTATAGAGTATGGGGAAGACTTGGTTCAGATGAAAGCAGTGAAGATGAATCCATATGTATCGAGCCTAGAGTCGATAAAGATGGTACTCTGTGGTATGATGCACCATATCCTCAAGCTCAAACCATTTATCCTAACATTTTGCGTCAAAAACCTGGACCATCAAATTTTACTGCATTATTTACAGCAAAAGAGATATTCAAATCTATCATGACAAAATAAATGTGTGACATAATCTTGAGAGAAACCAAAAGAATAGGTCAACAAGTTACTGAAGATTACAATAGATAACTAACAACAAAATTGCTAGTTTCTTGTTTACCGCCAACAAAAAAATTTATATTTATATTTTAAAAATTTATATTTATATTTATATTTACATTTACCGAAGAATAATTTGATGTACCCTTGAAAATTCTCGTATCTGGTGTACATAGATCTAATAAAAAACATGTATCAGAAATATGAAAATTAGACTTGTTACATCCCATGTCTCGAGATCGATTCAAAATGTTGCTAAGGTAGAAATAGAAATACGCACCTCCATACCGAAAGTAGTAGGAAATAGAAATACTCGTCATAAATCAATGGAAATTGACATTCAATACAAGAGATCATTGGTATTCCAAAAAATGTACCACTTCGTAATGTTTCAGGGCATATTTAAATAGTTGAAAATTGGATCATAAGAAACGGAAAACTCGAAAAGCTTGTTCAAATTACTCAATAAACTAATCATTATGTGAAACTTGCTATCAATAAGAAACATAAATATGTTAATAATTATTAAATTTTTTTTCTATTAATATTTGTACCTATTTTAATGTTCAGTAAAAATAATTATCAATGGTAATTTAACTTTTTTTACCTACATTTGTATATAATTGTTAGGGGTTTGTTTAATAGTTGAGGATCTTGNTGTTAGGGGCTTGTTTAATAGTTGAGGATCTTGGTCAAAACCAAGAATCGGAAGCTACCCGACGTCTGCCCAAATATCGTCCCTATCTCCTTAAATGAGTTTTAATTGCCTGAAGGAGACACAGGCAATCGTGTACCTTAGTTACAGAGGATAGATTATTAAATAAAATTAGACTATTGTTTTATGTCAACGACAAAGTAAAGTTATATTTTAGATGTTTAGTAAATATAAGTTATATGTAATGTACAATACGTCTGACCTGAATCCTAGTACAGTTGGTTAGTAGGTATATCCAAGTGAGACGGAGTTGGTTGGCTATGATGACAATTGGCGATAGACGGGTCGTTGAATAAAACAAGTTAAGTTATAAATAATATAAATAAGACGAAAGTAATAATATTGAAAACTATGTCTATAACGGCCACTCAAACACAACTGCCCTTTGTTAGTTCGACGTCAGTAGCTCCGGGCTACAGACGAGTAGAATTGTCACATCAGCATCTCCCTCTATGCTAATTAATATGTATTACGAATTAAATAAATAGAAATAAAACGAGTGTAATATAAGTGGTAAGAACATAGTAATAAATGTTCTTACATAATATATATATATAGTTACCCAGGTACATACTCCGTCCTTATAAGGTGTAAAATCAACAACGTTATTTTAAGTACAATAAATTATATATTTTCCAAATACAGAATATAAAGTTGTTGACTATACATGCTATTTAGAGATGTCACGGAATGACTAACCATACATACTAAATATTTGGAAGAAAAATAAATTAAAGAACTGAAAAGGTACCCAGGTTCCTTTCCAGTCACATAAGGGTTAAAAATGTCATTAATTCGAAAAATTTGTGTCAAAAATAAGTATAAAAATTATCATCATAATTGTACCCTTTTACCATATATTTGGGGTCGACTTTGCCTTAATACTTGGGAGGATTTTTATACCGGTTATCGATCTGATGTAACCTTATTATAACTGAGGAAACCATTATGATGGTATGGTGTGTCACAGTTATCACAGTTCCCGAATAAACCCGGTATTAACAGCAAACAGCGCAACCGAACATTAACGCTAAAACGACGACTGAACAAACCCCACATCGCCACATTACACTAGTAAATAAAAATAATCTATAAAATAAAAATATTTAAGAAAAAATAATTTTAACAATTATTTGTTTGTAATAAAATTATACTCTCCGATAATCTAATTAAAAAAGAATCAAATAGGTGAGAATGGGAAAAATAGGACACTAGTCTTTGCAAGTAGGTTATTATATAATGCTGAAAAAAATTATACAACTACGGAACAAGAAACATTAGCTGTAGTATTTGTATGTCAAAAATTTAAAAATTATATTTTAGGTTTTCCATAATAATATAGTACCAGATACATTGACCCGATACCTAGTGTATAATCAGGAGGTAATTCCGAGTAACGCAAGAAGATTAGTTATTGCGAAATTAATTACAATTCAGTATAGTAAAGAACTTACCAACAAATTGAAAAATATAGATAAAATACAAGAGGAGGATGAGATTATAAGAAAGTTAAAATACAAAGTTAATTTAAAACCGTCAGAGTATAAATATCACATAATTATCGAAAACGTATTATTAGAGAGAATAGACATTAATAAAGAATGACGTGTTATGATTCCAAAGGTTTTAATAAAAGAATTGATTTGGGAGACACATGTAAGTTTTGGCCACAAAGGGACAAACAAGGTATACAAAATATTGAAGGAAAACTGTGTTTTTAAAGGTATGTCGAGAATAACAGTAAAAATAATAAGGTCATGTGATCTGTGTCAAAAGGCACAGGTATTTAATAAAAATACGGCAGGACCCCAAATAAATCACACACCAACACAAGTATTAGAAGTTTACTCATTAGACTTGTTAGGACCGCTAATAAAGAGTAGGGTAGGTGTACAATATGTATTAGCCATTATTGATACGTTTTCAAAATATGTAAAATTATATGCTCTTAAAAAAGCTACTACAATTGCTATATTAAATAGAATAATAAAAGAATATATAGTAAAGGAGGGTTCTCCGAAAATTTTTTTAGTAGATAATGGTACACAATTTCAGTCAAAAAAATGGATAGAATGTTTAAGAAATGTAGGAATTGAATGTAAATTTACGGCAGTATATAACCCTCAAAGTAACCCAATAGAACGTACCAATAGGGAGATAGGTAGAATTTTGCGAACATTTTGTCACGTACAACATACTAACTGGGCTAACTATTTGCTTAACCATAGTATTTTAGATACTACTAATAAAACACTCTGGGTGGTATTTAAAAAAAAACCACCTATAAGACCAATAAAACAAATTATTAATTTACCTGAAGTAAAAAAAAACGAGGATATAGTAGAAATAGTTAAAAAAAATATAAGGGATAAAGAAAAAAATTGAAAAGCTAAAGCTGATAATATTAAATCTATTGTTAATTATTACGAGCATCAGTTAGTATTAGTAAAAAATCATAACCGTTCATCGGCTATGGAGAGGGAAGTAAAAAAATTATTTCTTTTATATAAGGGACCATATAAAATAAAAAAAAAGTTAGGCGAAAATACGTTCTTAATTTGTGAATTACAGAACCCTGAGGAAGACAGTATCCAAAACGTCAGAAATCTGCGTCCATATTACTGTTCGTACTATGAACAAACTTCCTGTATGGACCGTGGAAGCATACGAGAGAATGGAGAGTAATGGGGCGACATTACAATGAAGAAGAAATATTAGCCTTGGAATGGTCCGACAAGGAAGATATCCAGTTTGAAACAACACAACCGAATAAATTACCAGAAGTAAAAGAAAACAATTTTGATAGAGAGTATATATTCGAACAATTTAATGAAGATATGATTATGGTCAAGAGAAGAGAAAACACCGAAGACAGAGAAACATTTAAACTCGCAAGCTGAAAGGATTAAAAAATCAAAGATTAACCGTGGACCTCCACTAATTTTCGATTACGAAAATTTAGAACCTTTACTAGAACTCAAACTAATTTCGGAGATTAATATAAACAACATTACCAAAAGAGACCTCACCCAACCGGATGATGGAAATATCAACCAGATACAAAGAAAATTAGTGAACGATATTCCACATAACAAGGACAACAACAACAAGAATATTGAACGAATAATTAAAAAAAAATATCAAAAATATTGGGAAGAGGATTAAGTGTAAAACTAAAGTCAATCGAGAAATTATTGAACAGATACTTATTCAAAAGGGCTATGAGATTCCGAGCAAACCTTTAATGAAGACATTAGCCGCTTCATTTTAATGTTATGATTATTTTGTAAATACGAACAAAGGGTTAAAAATGTCATTTAATCCAATATATTTGAAAAAAAAATTTAGGCAGGTACAATTTCCCTTCTCAACTAATAACAACAAAATTAAAAAAAAAAATAGTTCTTTGGATTTTATTAAATTTTAAATTTAATTTACAATCACCTTTACTATTTGGTAACCCGTATTGTTAAATGATGTTCTTAGTTTCAATGTGTATGGATTTGTTTTGATGACTCGAATTTCTTTAATGCCATTCCACAAAACTTCTTTACCATTTACATCCATATTGAAATTTGTACCAATATCTCTGCTTAAATCATTTAAATTTGATAAAATGTTCAGTTGAACTTTAATTTTACGGTGTATGGTTTTTCTTTTTGTTTTGCCGACTTAATAACTGATACCCATTGAGATGGTAGATAGATCAGGCCACTTCGGAGTACCAATTTTTTTTGACGTTCTATTACTGAATGTATAGAGTCTCCTTCGTTTTGTGTGTAGACTACGATCAGAAACTTATGACGAATTGTATTAATATTTAATACTAATGATGCGTATACATATAAACTAGCAATAAATTTATTTTTATTTTGTCCTGAACAGTTGTCAGAATAAAATATTATATCTGTTAAGTTGTTTTCAGTTCCATTCAATTCATTACGTAGGAAATCCAATAAACACGTACCGATTTCATTTGCACCCCAATTTGTTATTGTTACGTTCCTGATATAACATGTTCCTTTCCCGTTCTTCATATTATAAATTGTAAAGTTGTATGTTGCTAATCGTTTTTTGTAATAAACACTTGATATTTCACCGTTATAGTTTGTAAATCAAAACAACAAACGGTTAACTGAATACTATCGATTGCTTTTTGTTTATCGTTTTCTTTTTCCAAACGAACAGCATTTTTTTCAGAAAGATGAAGATTTTGTAATAATTTCATTTCGTCGGTTTTATTTTTGTTTTTATACGATTCACAGGTTTTAGATAGATCTTTTTTTGGTACAAAAAACCAATATTGTAATTATAATTAAAAATATTTTGATACATAACGAGATTAGATCACTTTTGCATACCTTATTCTTTACAATATTCTACGTACATTTTGTACATTTTTGCTACATTTAAATTTCCAGAAATGTAAGATCTTGTAGTCTGCTTTCTAAGATAATGTGACTCAATTGTCGGAAAAAGTTCAACGTGTTTTTGTATTGATTCTTTAATATTTAAATCAAGCATTCATAAATATTCAATATTCTAGTCGGTGTGTTAACTTCTTCCAAATCTGAAGATGAAGAAGTAGCCGGAATAATATTAACATCGCACATATCGCAATATACGTCGCACGAGACGTATAACATGCGGAATAACGATCTGATAGTAAGACAAAACGACGATCACTAAGAATAATACAGTATTTTCCGTACCTACCTTCATAACAAATTTCAACTTTAAATCTAATAATAGTATTATTATTATCTTGTGTGTGTACTAAACTTAGTTTTATAATCTACAATACTATTCGATGTAGTAGAACGTCCCAACTATTTGAAATTGTTTCAAAGTGCAAATAGATAAAACGGCTTATCCTAGTTAAGTCGTTCTTTACTGAAAATAATTTATTACATTTAAAAGTGTAAAACGACGTAACTATGTCTTCAACCAATACTAATACGAATTTGACTTCAGTCGTTTTAGCAAATCAATCAATAAAATACGAATTTTCAGAATATGCACTCACTCAAAATTTTCAAATTTTGAGTTTCGTCGTTCTTCTTCTGGGAGTGCGATATACGAAGTCGAAGTTACAGTTAGATTATTTAAGTAAAGTTTTTTATTATTAATATTATAATTTTTTTTGAAATATCAATTGCTGTTTAGGCGTAATAATAATAATTTAAAAAAATATGTCAAATTTCATCGAACTGTTATCATATTCGGGAGATGTGGAAACAGATATTGATACATATATTAAGCATTTCGATCGCGTAGCAAAAGCGAATGAATGGGATGATAATAAAAAACTTTCGATGTTACCCTTATACTTACAGGATCATACACTTAATATATTTGAATTTATAGAATATCGATCGACAAATTTAACTTGGAAAATGTTAAACTGCCATTAATTAATTTCAATTGTGACAATAATAAAAAAAAATGTGAAAAAAAAAATTTAATGATGATGAAAATGACTGATAGTGTCTATTAAAATTTTTTTAGTAAGGGTAATAGCAGAATGTCGTTTGAATGGTTTGAAGGTATCATGTCGAAAAAACATATCAAAGAGTATTTTTTTAAGGTACTACCAGATGAAGTAATTATTTCATTTAGGTCATTAGTTAATAGTGCAGTAGGTAAATTATTAGAAAATATTTTTAAGAATTGAAAGAAATAAAATTTTGATAAAATATGATGGCGATATAAAAATTTGGCAAATGGAAATAGATTCTCTTTTAAGAAACCATAATAGTAAATTTCATGATTATGGCAATATAAATGTTTACAATTTTTCTCTTTACAATTAGTAAGTAATAGTGTGCACAATTCTAATCAATTAAAGGTAAATAAAATTGATCCACCTTTAATTAATGAAAAAGTCAATATTAATGATACGGTAACTAGTTGTGAATTAAATACTCATTCCTTGATTTCAATTAAAACTAACGATTCTTCACTAATAATAAGCAAAGTAAATAAAAAAGGTATTATTTTCGTCGTTGATACAGCAGCGAGTACAAGAATTATAAATACGAATATTTTACCCAATAATCATACTATTTTTCCACTTAATAATGTTACATTAACTATAGCTAACGGGTCACATTTGTATGTCACATTGGTAGGTACAACTACTGTGGAGGTAAAGTTCGAAGGATATATAAGGACATATATTTATGATATACTTTACCATAGTCGATAATTTATTTTTAAATAAATTATTAGGATATGATTTTTTTAGAATATAGCCGACAATCTACACCCGAGAGGCTAAAACTACTTTATTAAAAAGCATTGAAAGAGTAAACAAATATGGTTTACAAAAACAATGTCTGGACTGGCAAATTAAATATTGATCAATTAAACAAATTCTATCGAATTCATGACTAATCAATCATTCAATAAATTTAGTACAGATGGGTGTTAGAGTAATTGCTGCGAAAAGCGACATTTTAACACAAGTAGCACCAGACGCTTGGTGTGGAGTATCAACACAAAGTAGTCTTAAATAATAAAGGTATAAATATTAATGCTTACGAAATTAAAAAAATATTAGGCATTCATCTGTCTGATAAGCCAATTTATTCAGAAAGTGAAAATTTAGCAGTCGAAACAAATTATTTTGGTTTAGGCTTAATAATTATATTAGAAAACAATAATATTAATTCTGTATTAAACTTTACAAACACTAAATAATTGTTTGTAATGAATTACCACTTGACAACAATAGTTTACAACCCAAATTCTAAATTTGTTCGCTCATTTCGTAGTATTATTCAAATTAACCAGTTTAATACTTAGCCATTGGAAAAAATATTTTGCAAAATAGAATAATTAAACGTGATTTTACTATCTGTTCGACATTTGAAGGAAAAATCAAATTTAAAACAGGCAGCGTTAAACAAGACGTAGCAAAAAACATTAACAATGGTTCTCACACAAACACGACTCAATTCTCAGAAAACGTTAAAAGTAATATTTCTTTATCTTCTACTGTTACATCTGAAAAAGTACTAGACTGGGACATTAATCAGCAAAATAAATTTAGATGTTTATTAATGAAATATAGTACAATTTTTTCTAAAAATAAATATGATTTAAACTTGTATAAAATTGCTCCGATAGAACTTCAGTTATCAAGTAATAAAATAATAAATTTACCTAATTTTAAGTAAAGCTGCATTATATGTGTAAAGTCATGACTGGCTTAAATTATAGACACAATGTAAGTTATTTAGACGATTGTGTTGCATTTAAAAAATCACTTGAGTCTCATTTACAATCACTAGAATTAACATTTCAACGGTTATAACATACCTAACACACTTATTAACAATATACGCTAAATCTTATCAAATACTTTTCGAACACAAATTTTTTGTACAGATGACATATCTAATACTCTTTGTTTGAGTACATTTCTTTTTAACATATGACATTCGAACATACAATCCTTTAACATACACAAAATGTTAAGTATCACTTTGATTAAATTTTAAAAGTTACTTTTGTCTTAATTTCGTTGAATTCTTGCTTAATCTGTATTATTTGCTTTTTATGCACTATTTTACTTGTTTCCAGCTGATTTCGTTTGTTTAACATTTCCCAAGTCATTCTTTTTGGATCTGTGTAAATTAAAATGTTATAGTATATTATACTGTAACCTTCTGCAAAAGAGTTATTAACTCAATTTTTTTATTTTGTTCAAAAAATAAAATTAAAAAAAAAAACAGTGCATATTACGAGTACATGCGGATAAAGTGAAATTTCATTTGTTATGAAGATATCGCATAAAAATTGAATTTATTATGATTCATTAAAATTTTTTTATGCACAATCAAAATTATTTGAAAATAAATTATTTAATAAATTTACTTAATTTTCGTAAATACAGTACTAAATTATAATGTCTTCTTCTTCCTCGCCTTAATCCCAACTACTTGGGGTCGGCCACCCTTATCCTAAACTTCCATTTGACACGATCTCCTACATCCTTAACGCTCACAACAGCTGTCTTTATATCGCATTCAATAACATCTCTCCATCTCTTTTTTGGTCTTCCTCTACCTCTTCTTCCTTCAATATTCATTTCTACAACTGTTATTATGGCTTTCGATTATTTTCTCCTTATAGCATGACCAAACCTTTTAGTATCAAGTGGAACTTTAGGATACTAAATTATAAAGTAAAATATACTTTACAGCCGAATGTGATACGACCATGACGCTCAATAATCTATTTTTTTTCAGATCCTCAATAGAGAAGTTTCACTTCAATAAATTATAGTTGATATTTTTTTCGTTTAATTAAAAAATATAACAAAAAACCCAGCACAGGGGGGTCGCGGCACAGTGGTGACGTGGTATAGATGGATCAAGTATAATGATATCTGACAGTGATTAAAATCACTATAAAAAAAAAACGCTTCGATGCAAATCTTTAGATACTGTTTAATTTTAAAAAATTGGTGGACTATTCCAAAAGCTACATTATCTGCTAGTTCATTATTAATATCCTAATTAAGATAAAGTATGTAGAATGAAAAAGGGATTATTAAAAAATATTATTTCTCATAAAAAAATAATGTTGATCCATACACTTTTCAATATGTCATAGCATTATAAAGTTAAAAATGTAAAAAATAAAATCGAGAATTTTCACACAATAATAGCATTCGGTAGCCATTTTCACCGTGAAGATAAAATAAAGTCCGAAATTTTTTTTTCGCATAATAAAGTAAATTACATTAGCTTTAATTTAAGATATATATAAAAGTGTCAGACTTTCCGGAACACTTTCAAAATTTAAGTTGAAAAAGTAAATTTTTTGTGAAAAAGTTGTCATTTTAAATCCCCCCCTGTGGGCAGGTTAAGGGTCAGATTTACAAAAAAAATATACCAAATGATAAGTAAAGACATCAAGCATCTATATAAAAAAAAATTATATTGATATGTTCATTTTTGAAAAAGTTAGAGCATTATTAAGTTAAAAATATAAAAAAAAATTATTTTACAAAAATCGTAATTTTTTATTAACTTTGATGTCAACTTTCACCACGAAGACAAGTCCAGAGGTCAAATTTTTTTTTTTCAAATTAAAGTATATTACATTAGCTTTAATTTAAGATATATATAAAAGTGTCAGACTTTCCGGAACACTTTCAAAATTTAAGTTGAAAAAGTTCTACTTTCTACATGAATTTTTTAGATTTGAACCCCCCTCGTATATAGGGAAATGGTCGGATTTATAAAAACAGTATGTCAAATGAAAGATGTATATAAATACTACTCCTCATGAAAAAATTGTACTGATCCAAAAATTTTTCAAAAAGTTATAGCATAATAAAGTTAAAAATGTAAAATACAAAATCGAAAATTTTCACACAAAAAAAAGCATTTGGTAGCCATTTTCACCGTGAAGATAAAATAAAGTCCGAAATTTTTTTTTTGCATAATAAAGAATATTACATTAGCTTTAATTTAAGATATATATAAAAGTGTCAGACCTTCCGGAACATTTTCAAAAGTTAAGTTGAAAAAGTTGTAGTTTTAAATCCCTCCTTGTGGGCAGGTTAAGGGTTAAATTTATGAAAAAAATATACCAAACGAAAGGTAATGATATTACACATCTATATAAAAAAGAATTATATTGATATGTTCATTTTTGAAAAAGTTATGGCACTTTTAAGTAAAAAAAATTGAAAAAATTTCGAATATTAGCGATTTTTAAATTTGTAATTTTTTTGGAGGTTTCCCCCATTTACGGGGAACGAGGGCATTTTTTTCAATTTTTGAGGGTAATGTCTTCGACTAGATACAATTTTTGATCTTTTGACGTATCGTTGAAAGAAATCCGTTTGGTGAGAGCTGAGAAAAAGTGGTAACAGACACAAAAAAAAAATAAACACTTAGTAAAACCAATACCTTCTCAGCTTCGCATCGAAGCTAAAAATTGAGTTACAACTTTTTTAGGAGAAATTTTTTATCGATATGATTAAATAAAATACATAATTAGTTATGTACAGTATCGAGCAAAAGTGAACACAATTTCCAAAATTTTTAGAAAATTGGCATTTTCAAAACTAAATATGAATCAATTTAATAAATGTTTGAATCCATATTCTAGGGATTAAAACAGAAGTTTACGCGTAAAGAATAGTCACGAAAAAGCTAAAAGGCCTAAGAGTTCGTTTATTTAAAAATACTCACTTTCGCACTTTTAGCTATTAAAACAATATAAAAACACAATGCGCAGTGCGTGTCCTTGGCTTGTTGTTGTTAGGGCGTCTGGAGAAAAGAGATTTCTCACTCTTGATTTGTTTAAATTTCTTTCTATTTCAAAGAAAGTATGAAACTTCTATTTTAATTAGAATGAACCAGTCTTTGGTAGTGAAATGAACATGAAATATACTCCTTAAAAACGACACAAATTGTATCGATGATAAAATCGGGTCAATCAACCAGAGAAGTGCCTCGACAGTGTGGTGTCAGCCAAGCGGCAGTGCAAAAAATAAAAAATAAAGTTTGCTAAAGATTATAAACACTAGTCAGAAATACTAGAGGAGGGTAATATGATCGGATGAAACCAAAATCAATAGATACTACTCTGACGGAAGGTCTTGGTTCTAAAAAGGACTGATGAGAGCCTCAAACCTTCCTATATCAAACAGACGGTTAGCATAGTGGAGGATCTGTCATACTATGGAGCTGTTTTACTGCGTATGGACCTGGACCAATTCATAAAATTATATCTACTATGGATCAATATATGTATAAAAACATTCTATCAAGAAATTTGCTAGGTGTGGTTGCAAAAATGTCAATACCAAACAATGAAGTCATTTTCCAACAGGATAATGACCCCAAGCATATGGCGAAATCCGTCAAACAATGGATTGCCAATCAACAATTTATAAATATGGACTGGCCAGCTCAAAGTTCTGACCTGAACCCAATAGAGAATTTTTGGGCATATTTAAAAAGAAAATTGTATAGTGAGTACCACGTCCCCTGTGGATAGGGGATAAGAATACTTCCTTGGCCTCTCTGCCAGTTTAAGAGGCGACTAATGAGGTTGTGTCAGGTTAACAGCCGGCGTAAAAATCTTTGTCCAAAAAGTATGAGGAATCCAGAACGAAACTTAGGCGGATTGTCCTGTCACGGATGTACGCGGGGACAACAGAAAGTAGTTAAAAACGGAGAAGGCCTAAGGAATAAAATTTTTGATACCAGCCGGATAACTTGTGCGGTAGCTGTTTCACCAGTCATGTGAACAGGTTTACCCAACGCTTTTAGTGTCAACGGTGTAGGGACATCACCACTTAACTTTAAGATGGACTCGTATATAAGGGAGAAAGATAGATACAAAGTAAGAATAGGTACTTGGAGTGTTGGAAAATTAACTGGTAGAAGTAAAGAATAAGTAGAAGTATTGAAGAGGAGAAAAGTTAACATTTGTTGTGTACAGGAAACTAAGTGGAAAGGAGAGAAATCAAGGGAAATAGGTGAGGGTTATAAAATAATATATTTAGGTAAGTCTAGTACAAAGAATGGTGTAGGGATAATAATGGATGAGTAGATGAAAAGTAGAGTAGTAGAAGTAGCTAGAAAAAGTGACAGAATTATGGTCGTAAAATTGATATTCGAGGAAAAAATGCTGAATATAATAAGTGCCTATGCACCACAAGTGGGATATGTTGAAATAGACAAGGAAGAATTTTGGAGAGTGATGGATGAGGTGATGCAAGGGATACCTGGAAATTAGGATGCTATGATAGGTGGAGAAATGAATGGACATGTAGGTAATGAGAGGACAGGATATGAAAGAGTACATGGAGGGTATGGTTTTAGTGGGAAGAATGAGGCTGGAGAAAGAATACTGGACTTTACAGTATCGTATGATCTTGCTGTGGTTAATACTTATTTTAGAAAGAGGGAAGAACATTATATAACATATAAGAGTTGGAGGTATAGATCACAGATCGATTATTTTATGTGGAAGAGAGAGGGAGGCTGTGGCATCAATGAAAAAGAATAAAGCAAGTGCCAGTAGGAGTTTGGAAAATATTAGGTGGTGTTGGCATAAGGTGGTTGAAGGAACTTTTAAATAAAATCTCATTAGAAGGGAAAATACCAAATGAATGTAGGAAATAGTATTGTGATACCGATATTTAAAGGTAAAGGTGACATACAGTAGTGTGGAAATTATAGAGGCATAAATCTTATGAGTCATAGTATGAACATTTGAGAAAAGGTAATAGATAAGAGAATAAGAAATGAGACATCGGTATCTTAAAACCAGTATAGAATTATGCCTGGTAAGACAACAATGGAGCCAGTATTTTGTATGAGACAACTTATAGAAAAGTTTAGGGAAAAGAAGAAAAGGCTGTGTATGCTATTTATAGATTTGGAGAAAGCGTATGACAGATTACCGAGAGAGGTTTTAATGTGGGCATTAATGAGAAAAAGAGTCCCGAAAAGGAACATTAATATAATAGAAGATATGTATGATGGCACTTGTACCAGGATAAAAAGCGTAGGAGTATTATCAGGAGGTTTTCGGTTAAGAGTAGGAGTGCACCAAGGTTTGCTTTAAGCCCTTACTAATTCTCTATAGTGATGGATGAAATTACTAGAGAAATACAAAGAGAGGTACCGTGGTGCATGTTGTTTGCTGACGATATAGTGTTAATAGGAGAAAATAAGGAGGAAATTAATCAAAGGCTAGAAGTGTGGAGATCAGCTCTTGAAGAAAAGGGTTTAAGAATAAGTAGAAGTAAAACAGAGTATATAGAGTATGAGTTTGACAAAGGAGAACATGATGTAGGTGAAATGAGTAGGTCAGTGGCAATATGCGTGGACGTGATTGGAGAGGTGGAGAGTTTTAAATATTTAGGGTCAGTTGTGCAAAAGAGTTGTGGTATTAACTAGAATCTAAGACACAGAATTAAATGCGGGTGGTTGTAGTGGAGAGAAGCGTCTAGCGTCTTATATGATATAAGAATTCCAATGAGGCTGAAAGGTAAATTCTACAAGACTGTAATAAGGCCACCTATGATGTATGATTCAGAGTGTGAACCATTCATCATAGCCCAAGAGTGTTGGGCGGTCGATAAGAAAGTAAAGCAGAGATGAGAATGCTTAGATGGATGAGTAGAGTGACTAAAAAAGATAGAATAAGGAACGAGCACATAATAGAGAGTATAGGTGTAGCGTCAATCGTGGATAAGATGAGAGAAAATAGACTTACATGGTTTGGTCATGTTATGAGGAGTGAAGAATCGGAAGCTGTAAGAAAAGTTATAGAAATAAATGTTGAAGGATGAAGAGGTAGAGGAAGACCAAAATAGAGATGGAGGGTTGGGTTGGGTTGGATATAGTGAGTATCACGGTCCACTTACTTCACTCGACAATTTGTGTGAAAGAATTAGAGAAGAATGAGCAAAAATTGATGTAAACTACTGCAAGTATGCAGTATGCAACGAAGGATGGAAGCAGTGATAAAGGCTGAAGGCTTTTGGACAAAATATTAATGCCGGAATATATATATATAATGAATACCGGTGCAAAAGTGAGTACTTTTAAAAAATCGTAATCTAGTAACTCGCTACTTATTGTTTGTATTTTATAAGCTAATACGCTTCAATTTTGTTTTCCAAATACATATACATTTTCGATTAATTTTAAACATATGTGTTATTTTATAACCCTTTTTCTCAGAATTTTCTCATTAGTGTTCACTATTGCTCGTCATTTTAAATACAGTTTTATTTACAGCTTACCTCCAATAGAATATTCATTACCTACACCTATTGTTTCTGTGTTGCTTAAAATTGGTGTATCAATTTGATGAAGTTTTCTAGTATGTTTACAGCTATTTTTACTATAAAAAACAAATTTTTTTTAATGAATTATTTATAAAAATAATACTGAAGATTAAGGTATTAATAAATAAAAATTAATATTTTCGCGATTACACCAGTTTTATTGATTTTAATATCTAATAAAAAGTTTTATAGAAAAATAAAAAAATTACTGGCCACATTACATAAATTAAAATTATAATGCAATATTTATAAATATATCCCGGATACAGAGTGGCAACCTCTAATAACCAGTCCAACGACCACCCATAGCGCTTGCTTGTGACCAGTTTAAACTTATTTGCACGTCGTCAACCATTGCCCCTTTCTCAAATTATTACTACACGTTGTTACGAACCTCTAATAATACTAATCGTCCGATTATTGAAACCATTTAACTTAGATACAAGGATGAGAAGGTATAACTTTTAGTTTGATGTTTTTTTTATGATTGCTTTTACTTTTTCTCAGGTCTACACCCAGAGAAAAACCTCGATCTATATAATAAATTCATTGTTCAATTTAATAAATATATCATTACTATTGAANACATTTTTCAAAAAGTTATAGCATAATAAAGTTAAAAATGTAAAATACAAAATCGAAAATTTTCACACAAAAAAAAGCATTTGGTAGCCATTTTCACCGTGAAGATAAAATAAAGTCCGAAATTTTTTTTTTGCATAATAAAGAATATTACATTAGCTTTAATTTAAGATATATATAAAAGTGTCAGACCTTCCGGAACATTTTCAAAAGTTAAGTTGAAAAAGTTGTAGTTTTAAATCCCTCCTTGTGGGCAGGTTAAGGGTTAAATTTATGAAAAAAATATACCAAACGAAAGGTAATGATGTTACACATCTATATAAAAAAGAATTATATTGATATGTTCATTTTTGAAAAAGTTATGGCACTTTTAAGTAAAAAAAATTGAAAAAATTTCGAATATTAGCGATTTTTAAATTTGTAATTTTTTTGGAGGTTTCCCCCATTTACGGGGAACGAGGGCATTTTTTTCAATTTTTGAGGGTAATGTCTTCGACTAGATACAATTTTTGATCTTTTGACGTATCGTTGAAAGAAATCCGTTTGGTGAGAGCTGAGAAAAAGTGGTAACAGACACAAAAAAAAAATAAACACTTAGTAAAACCAATACCTTCTCAGCTTCGCATCGAAGCTAAAAATTGAGTTACAACTTTTTTAGGAGAAATTTTTTATCGATATGATTAAATAAAATACATAATTAGTTATGTACAGTATCGAGCAAAAGTGAACACAATTTCCAAAATTTTTAGAAAATTGGCATTTTCAAAACTAAATATGAATCAATTTAATAAATGTTTGAATCCATATTCTAGGGATTAAAACAGAAGTTTACGCGTAAAGAATAGTCACGAAAAAGCTAAAAGGCCTAAGAGTTCGTTTATTTAAAAATACTCACTTTCGCACTTTTAGCTATTAAAACAATATAAAAACACAATGCGCAGTGCGTGTCCTTGGCTTGTTGTTGTTAGGGCGTCTGGAGAAAAGAGATTTCTCACTCTTGATTTGTTTAAATTTCTTTCTATTTCAAAGAAAGTATGAAACTTCTATTTTAATTAGAATGAACCAGTCTTTGGTAGTGAAATGAACATGAAATATACTCCTTAAAAACGACACAAATTGTATCGATGATAAAATCGGGTCAATCAACCAGAGAAGTGCCTCGACAGTGTGGTGTCAGCCAAGCGGCAGTGCAAAAAATAAAAAATAAAGTTTGCTAAAGATTATAAACACTAGTCAGAAATACTAGAGGAGGGTAATATGATCGGATGAAACCAAAATCAATAGATACTACTCTGACGGAAGGTCTTGGTTCTAAAAAGGACTGATGAGAGCCTCAAACCTTCCTATATCAAACAGACGGTTAGCATAGTGGAGGATCTGTCATACTATGGAGCTGTTTTACTGCGTATGGACCTGGACCAATTCATAAAATTATATCTACTATGGATCAATATATGTATAAAAACATTCTATCAAGAAATTTGCTAGGTGTGGTTGCAAAAATGTCAATACCAAACAATGAAGTCATTTTCCAACAGGATAATGACCCCAAGCATATGGCGAAATCCGTCAAACAATGGATTGCCAATCAACAATTTATAAATATGGACTGGCCAGCTCAAAGTTCTGACCTGAACCCAATAGAGAATTTTTGGGCATATTTAAAAAGAAAATTGTATAGTGAGTACCACGTCCCCTGTGGATAGGGGATAAGAATACTTCCTTGGCCTCTCTGCCAGTTTAAGAGGCGACTAATGAGGTTGTGTCAGGTTAACAGCCGGCGTAAAAATCTTTGTCCAAAAAGTATGAGGAATCCAGAACGAAACTTAGGCGGATTGTCCTGTCACGGATGTACGCGGGGACAACAGAAAGTAGTTAAAAACGGAGAAGGCCTAAGGAATAAAATTTTTGATACCAGCCGGATAACTTGTGCGGTAGCTGTTTCACCAGTCATGTGAACAGGTTTACCCAACGCTTTTAGTGTCAACGGTGTAGGGACATCACCACTTAACTTTAAGATGGACTCGTATATAAGGGAGAAAGATAGATACAAAGTAAGAATAGGTACTTGGAGTGTTGGAAAATTAACTGGTAGAAGTAAAGAATAAGTAGAAGTATTGAAGAGGAGAAAAGTTAACATTTGTTGTGTACAGGAAACTAAGTGGAAAGGAGAGAAATCAAGGGAAATAGGTGAGGGTTATAAAATAATATATTTAGGTAAGTCTAGTACAAAGAATGGTGTAGGGATAATAATGGATGAGTAGATGAAAAGTAGAGTAGTAGAAGTAGCTAGAAAAAGTGACAGAATTATGGTCGTAAAATTGATATTCGAGGAAAAAATGCTGAATATAATAAGTGCCTATGCACCACAAGTGGGATATGTTGAAATAGACAAGGAAGAATTTTGGAGAGTGATGGATGAGGTGATGCAAGGGATACCTGGAAATTAGGATGCTATGATAGGTGGAGAAATGAATGGACATGTAGGTAATGAGAGGACAGGATATGAAAGAGTACATGGAGGGTATGGTTTTAGTGGGAAGAATGAGGCTGGAGAAAGAATACTGGACTTTACAGTATCGTATGATCTTGCTGTGGTTAATACTTATTTTAGAAAGAGGGAAGAACATTATATAACATATAAGAGTTGGAGGTATAGATCACAGATCGATTATTTTATGTGGAAGAGAGAGGGAGGCTGTGGCATCAATGAAAAAGAATAAAGCAAGTGCCAGTAGGAGTTTGGAAAATATTAGGTGGTGTTGGCATAAGGTGGTTGAAGGAACTTTTAAATAAAATCTCATTAGAAGGGAAAATACCATATGAATGTAGGAAATAGTATTGTGATACCGATATTTAAAGGTAAAGGTGACATACAGTAGTGTGGAAATTATAGAGGCATAAATCTTATGAGTCATAGTATGAACATTTGAGAAAAGGTAATAGATAAGAGAATAAGAAATGAGACATCGGTATCTTAAAACCAGTATAGAATTATGCCTGGTAAGACAACAATGGAGCCAGTATTTTGTATGAGACAACTTATAGAAAAGTTTAGGGAAAAGAAGAAAAGGCTGTGTATGCTATTTATAGATTTGGAGAAAGCGTATGACAGATTACCGAGAGAGGTTTTAATGTGGGCATTAATGAGAAAAAGAGTCCCGAAAAGGAACATTAATATAATAGAAGATATGTATGATGGCACTTGTACCAGGATAAAAAGCGTAGGAGTATTATCAGGAGGTTTTCGGTTAAGAGTAGGAGTGCACCAAGGTTTGCTTTAAGCCCTTACTAATTCTCTATAGTGATGGATGAAATTACTAGAGAAATACAAAGAGAGGTACCGTGGTGCATGTTGTTTGCTGACGATATAGTGTTAATAGGAGAAAATAAGGAGGAAATTAATCAAAGGCTAGAAGTGTGGAGATCAGCTCTTGAAGAAAAGGGTTTAAGAATAAGTAGAAGTAAAACAGAGTATATAGAGTATGAGTTTGACAAAGGAGAACATGATGTAGGTGAAATGAGTAGGTCAGTGGCAATATGCGTGGACGTGATTGGAGAGGTGGAGAGTTTTAAATATTTAGGGTCAGTTGTGCAAAAGAGTTGTGGTATTAACTAGAATCTAAGACACAGAATTAAATGCGGGTGGTTGTAGTGGAGAGAAGCGTCTAGCGTCTTATATGATATAAGAATTCCAATGAGGCTGAAAGGTAAATTCTACAAGACTGTAATAAGGCCACCTATGATGTATGATTCAGAGTGTGAACCATTCATCATAGCCCAAGAGTGTTGGGCGGTCGATAAGAAAGTAAAGCAGAGATGAGAATGCTTAGATGGATGAGTAGAGTGACTAAAAAAGATAGAATAAGGAACGAGCACATAATAGAGAGTATAGGTGTAGCGTCAATCGTGGATAAGATGAGAGAAAATAGACTTACATGGTTTGGTCATGTTATGAGGAGTGAAGAATCGGAAGCTGTAAGAAAAGTTATAGAAATAAATGTTGAAGGATGAAGAGGTAGAGGAAGACCAAAATAGAGATGGAGGGTTGGGTTGGGTTGGATATAGTGAGTATCACGGTCCACTTACTTCACTCGACAATTTGTGTGAAAGAATTAGAGAAGAATGAGCAAAAATTGATGTAAACTACTGCAAGTATGCAGTATGCAACGAAGGATGGAAGCAGTGATAAAGGCTGAAGGCTTTTGGACAAAATATTAATGCCGGAATATATATATATAATGAATACCGGTGCAAAAGTGAGTACTTTTAAAAAATCGTAATCTAGTAACTCGCTACTTATTGTTTGTATTTTATAAGCTAATACGCTTCAATTTTGTTTTCCAAATACATATACATTTTCGATTAATTTTAAACATATGTGTTATTTTATAACCCTTTTTCTCAGAATTTTCTCATTAGTGTTCACTATTGCTCGTCATTTTAAATACAGTTTTATTTACAGCTTACCTCC